GAGCCGCTACGTGGTCCAGTCCTTCTCCATTCATCAAGAACTACAGACTTGATGTCTTTGCTTCCGCTGAGCCTTCCTTTGGGAGAAGAGTTCTGCAGCAAGTCATTGCAACTCCCGCGGGCTTGGACAATTCTTCTTCCCTCCCCGGGACGGCATAGCTTTGGCATGTCCCATGCTTGGACACTCCAAGCAGCGCCTAGGAGAATGACCTTTGGCTTACCTGAATGGTCTTTCTCTAGACGCTGCGGGAGTGTCGAACCCCGCCCATTTGAGTGCCCGCGGGGTTCTGTACACCAGTGTGGGACATTCTTCATCTCCATCTACGACCTTTTTGGACTCTCCTTCGTTTTTTGAAACTGAGCCTCTCAGGAGAGCAGGAGGCGGAGCTACAAAATATTAAACTCAGTCCTTGGGCAGCAAGTTGATGTTAACCCGTGCTTGGACACTCCAAGCAGCGCCTAGGAGAATGACCTTTGGCTTACCTGAATGGTCATTCTCTAGGCGCTGCGGGAGTGTCCAAACCCGCCCATTTGAGTGCCCGCGGGGTTCTGTACACCAGTGTGGGACATTCTTCATCTCCATCTACGACCTTTTTGGACTCTCCTTCGTTTTTTGAAACTGAGCCTCTCAGGAGAGCAGGAGGCGGAGCTACAAAATATTAAACTCAGTCCTTGGGCAGCAAGTTGATGTTAACCCGTGCTTGGACACTCCCGCAGCGCCTAGAGAACAACCATTCAGGTAAGACAACGATCAATCTAGTTTGGCTAATAAAATGTCTGCAAGAAAACAACCAAGCTCAGAGAGCATTAAGAACCTCTCAATTGTGAATGTGTTTCAGTAAGAAACCCACAATAGTCATGACTGCAATATTTATTGAGCTAGAATGCTTTGTTGCCTGAACAATAGCAGTTTGGTAATTTCAGAAAGATACAAATTTTAATTTCATCTTCAGAGGTGGATTCACTATGGGAATTCCAAAGCCACATAAACATGTGGAGCAGTGGTGGGGTTCAAAATTTTTACTACCAGTTCTGTGGGTATGGCTTGGTGGGCGTGATTTGGTGGGCATGGAAGGGGAAGGATACCGTAAAATCTCCATTCATTCCCCACTCCAGGGGACGGTTACTGCAAAATCGCCATTTCTTCCTGATCAGCTGGGACTCAGGAGGCAGAGAATAGATGGGGGTGGGGCCAGTCAGAGGTGGTATTTACCGGTTCTCTGAACTAGTCAAAATTTCCGCTACCGGTTCTCCAAAACTGGTTAGAACCTGCTGAATACTACCTCTGATGTGAAGCTGCTTCTTCGATCTCTCAACATTCCATAAGTTAATTGTTTTTGTTTTTTAACTGTTGCGCTCAGATATTTTTAAACGAGGAAGCCCTCGTAGCAATTACAGCATCCATCGTGCATTCTCAAACCTGATCCAAAACGTTTGCAGACCCTTGATTTATGTGATGAGAGCAATGTTATGAAAATCAGTGTATTTAGTATGAAATCGCCAGAAATGGTCAGTGAACTATTTTCACTTGAGGTTCTAAACAGTGCTGCAGTGGGGTTTTTTTACTTGTCATCTGCTGGGGAAATGTTGAGAATGGATGTGGAATGGATGCAAAAATGTTGAAAATAATATTTTCATGACATCTGTGTTGATTATCTGCATAAACCCATTACGTCTCCAGCCTTACTGACTTCATTTTTTTGATTTATGTTTAAACACTCTTCCGTAGGCCTTTAAACAGATACATATAACAGGGCCATTTATTTCATCCTTAGCTCTCTTTGCTCAGAGATTTCCCCTGCTTTGCTATGTTTCAACACTTCTAACTGAAAATCCTGTACTATCTTGCTGTGATGGTGATCTTGCTATTTTACTATTGTTCCTCTGATAAGTCCAAGCAACAAGACTTCTCTTTTTGCATTTCCACTTGTATAGCCAGTGGGCTTCAAATATTTTAACAAGGGGTTCTTTGCCTGATTGCTGGGATGTGTGGCCATGGTGGGTGTAGCCTAGTCAGCCGCCTGCACCATGGTGTGTTTTGGGGCATTTTTGCCCTTCCTGGGAGCCTCTGGGAGGGCAAAAACGGGCCCACTTCTGGCCTTCCCAAACTTCCAGTAGGCCCGTTTTTCTCCCTCCCCGAGCCTCCGCTCATGCCATCCACTTACCTGCATCCAAAATGGGCTGCGTTGAGACTCTGGGAAGGGGAGCGGAGGGATGGACGGGGCCAGCCAGGAGTGGGATTTGGGGGTTTTCCAAACTGCACAGAATCTTAGCTAGAGGTTCTCGCAAACCCCCAGCAACCCACCCGACTGTGTATACTAAATTGTAATGCTCAAGCATGATTCCATCATGTTTTATACAAGGGCATAGGATGAAAAGACTGTTCAGAGAATCAAAGTACAGCTTTTCTAAGTCAATGGCCTATATGTGCATAGGATTAATCTTGCAGTTTTAATCCATTTTAATATTTTCAAAGTTGCACCTTGTTATGCCCTTACTAAATAATTATTCTTAAATTGTTCTGTAGGAAGAGAAATCTTGCAATCATGACCTGTCTTGTGGTTTGTATGGGCAACGTCAAATAAATGCATTCACAATTTATCACATTTGCATATGTAATTCATAGTGAGTGTTCAATGCATTTCAACAAGTTTACTTTAAATTTTCCATTCTTTGAATGAGCATTTTAGCACTTTGCCAATTTGAAAAGGAATCTAGGAAATTTTTTTCCTACACTTCAGTTTGTTATGTAAAATGTATCGTACTGTAACTTCTGATATTTCAGCTATAGTGCTTTAGTGCAGAGAAATTACTAACTCTGATTGACAAGTCTCAACCATGATTGCATTAGTCTGATAAGCAGATTTTTATTCACTCATTGAGCCTTAACATGCTGAATCAATACTTACTGACTTTCTTCTCAAGTCAGCATATATTTGAATGATTTAGACTGTAGTTTTGAAACTGCCTGGAATTAAGGTCAGTACCATATTTTTTGGAGTATACGACATACCTTTTTCACCCCAAAAAGAGAGTGAAAATCTGGGTGCATCTTATACACTGAATACAGCATTTTTTGCCTACCGAAACCCTGCCCGCTTTGCCAAAATGGACATGCAGAGGGTTTGGGAGGCTTGCAAAGTTCTCCTGGGGGCTGTGAAGGACAAAAATGAGAAAAAAACGGGACATCGCCCCCCCCCCCAGGAGCTCTCTATAAGCCTCCCAAACCCTGTGTGTCCTTCCCCCCACAAATGGCCCATTTTTGCGAAAAAGGGGCACATTTTGCTCGTTCCCCCCCCCCAGCTCCCAGTAGCACTCTATAAGCCTCCCAAAGCTCTGCATGCCTTTTTTTTTTTTTTGAAAAATGAGATGTGCAGAGGGTTTGGGAGTTCTGCAGAGTGCAAAAACTTTTTTTTATTTACCTCTTCAAAATCATGGTGAGCCTCATACTCCGGTGCATCTTATAGTCCGAAAAATACGGTAATTCACACTTCAAAGCAGTTATGTCCAACTCACAGCCCTGGACAGCTAATAATACAGCCTCACAAGTTAATAAAAATATATTTAAAATGAAGTTTGTTATTTATATATACATTAACTATATTATATAGTTTTATATGCGACCCAAGACAATTCCTCTTCACTCAGTGCAACCCAGGCAAGTCCAACACTTGGACAATTTAAAGTAACATATATAGGCTTCTATTATTGAAGAATTGCAACTAGAATTAAAGTTGGAATACTGTAATGTATGTATCTTACATGACTTCACAGTCACATTCCCCACAAATTTCTTATTTGAAGCCAATGAAATGCATAATTAATTTATTTTGTTCAGTGTTGAGATTATTTTATTTTCACATGAATTCTATGGGTAAAATCAAAAAAGTGAATGCCTTACACAGGTAGCCCTTGACTTACAACAGTTCGTTTAGTGACCAAAGTTACAATGGCACTGAAAAAAGTGACCTGACTGTTTTTCATATTTATAACCGTTGCAGCATTCCAGTGGTGGGTTGCAGGCAATACGCCCCGGTAAGGGCGTATACCGGTGCCTGCCTGGAGCACCATTTACCGTTTCGTTCTGGTGCTCTGGAGGGCCCACCTGCCTGCCCGAGCACTTTACCTGTATTTGAGCTCTTCAGCACTTATGCGCACGTGCCCGGAGCGCTCACAGCGCCTGCGCAATGCTCCGCCAAGCAGCTGGAACGTCGCAGAGGTGTCGCAAGAGGTAAGAACACATGTGTGTGCTGCGTGTGCGTGCGCTGCACGTGTTCATGTGGTGGACACCGGGCCCCGTTGCACCATATCGGTTGCACCGGGATCCAGAACCAACCACTGCAGCATTCCCATGGCCACGTGATCAAAATTTAGACGCTTGGCAACTGATTCATACTTATGACGGTTGCAGTGTCCCAGGATCATGTGATCATCTTTTGCGACCTTCTGACAAGCAAAGTCAATGGAGAAGGCAGATTCATATAACAACCGTGTTACTAATTTAACAACTGCAGTGATTTCCTTAACCACTGTGGAACGAAAGGTTATTATAATCATCATCAAAGTTCATGGTTTTCTAGGAAGATGCTGAAAGAATGTTGAATGTGAATTCAAAGGTACTCTAAATTGTTCTTTCAATGTTAGTGTCTCTGTATTTTGGGAATTGATTTTTTTTAAAAGTCAAACCATATGTCCTGTGTCGACTAGTAATTATTCCTTTTGTCAACAGGAAATATGATGAAGGAGGTTGTGGCAACTTTACCGTATGCTGGGCTCGGCAGACTTAAATGAGAAGTACTTCAGTGTTCTAATGGGCACCACATCGCATCTTGATTATGAAGTATTAGAAGGAAGGAACCTGGCCTTGCATATTGAGGAGGCAATGTGTGCCAAAACACACATTCTGATTCTTTAAAAAAAATAGAGAACATATCTACTAGTATTACCTGTCTGGAGCAGGCTTAATTTTATAAATTGAAAGCAATAAACTCCGTGAGTTTTTTTTTAAAAGAATACTCTTTTTTCCTATGTTTTTGAGGATTATTTGTTCAAATGAAAGTTTTTGCATCCAGTAGAGAGAAAGGCTCTTCTGCAGGATCAGAAGATAACACTGGACTGTAAATTATAACTAAACCCATATCTTCTAATGTTATTAATCAAAGGACAGGTTGCAAGAAAAATATTTAGTGGTTTTGCTTTTGGATTAGACATTTTGAAATGTGTCGCTAAGAAGTTCCATTTGATGTAACACCATATGTGCAGTCACTGTATAGATCCTGCATTAAGGATATGCCCTTGGTTCTAGCCATTTCCATCAGCAAGTGGTCAGTGTCAAATTACATGCTCTGCAATCTTTGAGTATATATGTCCATAAGCACTTAATCTGTTACACAGAAAGTCTTGAAGAAGGATTGAGATAGATTCTTGATCCCAAAGCCTTCAGAATTTTAGAAGAATATGAAATTAAATTGCAAAGCCAGTACTTGTCCTCAATCAACTTTTTGACTTTTTGTTAACATTGAAAAAAGTGAGGTTCAAATAGAAGTGATTGATGATGAAATGAAATGTCATAATGAATTCATTTTAAAAGGCACCCAGTGGACACCTTAAAAAATGACCTCAGTAAGCTCAAAGCTTTATCTACATTCCAGGTTCAAACATGTAGACCTGGTTTACTGATCAGCTTTAGAGAGGAAAAAAAGCAATGTGGTTATGCGCCACATGCAGGAAGCTTCGGTCTCTCTTAAGTTTCTTTTCTTCGAGAAGTAATTGGACAGTTATTCAAAATGTTGTCGCTTATGATCGTGGAAACTTCAGCAAAACCATTCCCCTTATGCTGTACTTGCATGGTGACAAGAGCTTTGGACTTGTGTAACAATAAAAAAAAATAGATGCAGAGTCCTATTTTTGTCATCAGTTTATTCATCTGGTAAGACTATAAATCGTACAGTTTGACCTCCTCACTGTACCATGATAATACCTTAACCCTAACCTTGTCTGATCTGATGCTCTTTCTATTTGTTGAGATGGCAACCACAAAATCCGCAACTCGACTATTCGTGATGCTAGCAGCGGATTGTAATTCTAGCCGATTTTGAGGGCAGCAGTTTGGGAAGCGTTGCATAAAACCTACTGATTTAGGTACCTTGCCATTACAGTAATAATAAGCAACAGCATAGCAATGAACACAGTGAAAATCAACATTCTATTGCATTTTTTATTTAAAAAACGTAGAAATTAGTACACAGCTATATGGTCAATATCAAAGCTGACCTTTTGAACAGCGAGTTGTATTTGCACATACCCATGTTCCAGCTACCACCACCATCCATAATGCTGTTCCTCTGATAATTCTATTGCTCTGGTTCCTATCAAGAGCCTATTTATGGCTCTTGATTTGTGTGCATCTTTCAAACACAACACAAGATCATCCTTGATCCTACAAATTGTCTCTATGTGCTGTAATAGGACAAAGGCTTTATTAGAATCAATTACCATTTTTTTAAAAAATAGCCACACTTGAATTGATTTTGATAGTGGTATTTTATTATATTGAGGTCTATGTATTTTCCCCTAATGGGTGAATTAAGCTGTTTCGATCTATTAAAGAAAAAAATAATGGCTCAGCAGAGCTCAACAGACTCCTATGAGACATTATTGAAGAAATGTTTGGAGCAATGAATATTCTTAGGAGAAAGTGAATATATGAATAATGTTTTTAGCTGAGAAAATCATTACAAATGTGTGCCTGTCTTTATACACCGGGGTGTTATTTTCTAGTATATGATTTCTAATTGTGTTCATGTTATTTAACACAAGGCATTTCTTAAGTGTAATTTGAATTTGCCAAGTTATGCTTGTGCAGTCATGCAGTTATAATATTGTCCATCTGATGAATAATTCATTGTGGCTAAATAGAACATTAAGAAAAGAAAATTAAATAAGTTTACATTTTTCAGTCTGAAGTGTCTGATGATATTTGAATATTAAGCCATTCCCAATAACTGTTTTCAATTACTTTTCCCACTTTTCATTGAATAGTTGCCTATTTATAGAATAATCCAAACGTGGCATAAAAATTGTCTCACTCACAAAGAGACTATAGATTCCCTGTAATATGGTATAAAATTGTATAATATAGATGGAAGCCCAGATTTCCTCATGGTAAATTCTATATCTGTTATAATGAACTATTATCTTTCATGGTTAAAATAGTGGAATCCTAACCTGTGTGATGTACAGCAGTGTTTATTAAACTATTTGCTGATTACTGACATCTTTAGTAAAAATATAATCAGGAATGGACACATTTTCCTCAAACAGAACCTATTCACTGACTAAATATCCAATTACATGAGAGTTCAAAAAATTAGAAATAAAAACGTTTTATAAGTTTGATTAGCCAACAGCCCTGCAATTTGCCTTCTGTGATTGAGATAAAATTGAACATCAACATTGAATACAGGTAGTCTTTGACTTACAACAGTTCATTTAGTGACTGTTTAAAGTCACAATGGCACTGAAAAGGTGATTTAGGACTGTTTTTCACACTTATGACCATTGCAGCACCCCCAGGGTCATGTGATCAAAATTCAGAGACTTGGCAACCAACTCATATTTATAACAGTTGCCGTGTCCTAGGGTCATGTGATCACTTTTTGCAAGCTTCTGAAAAGCAAAGTCAACGGAGGAGCTAGTTTCACTTAACTGTGTTACTCACAACTACTATGATTCACTTAATAACGGTGGCAAAAAGGTCATAAAATTGGGTAAAATTCACTTAACTGTCTCACTTAGCAGCAGAAATTTTAGGCTCAATTGCAGTCATAAGGACTACCTATAAAATTCTGTATACTATTCACCCATTTAAAAGACTAGGGAAGCCAAAAATTGTAGAAATATGCTATTAGGATTACAATATAGGTTAAAATCAAGTTCTGGCTTAAGGCTGAATCTTGGAAGAGAAACAATCCTCCTTTATCCAGTCTCTAGATCAAGGATCAAACTCACGTCGTCACATCATCATCACATTACGTTATTGGGACTTTTTCACCCTTCGCTATACCAGGTGTGGGCATGGCCAGTGCGTGGTGCATCCGGCCCACGAGCCAGGAGTTTGACAGCCCTGTTCTAGATTCTCCAGTGTCTGAAACTCCAGTCTTAACTGAAAGCCTGACTGGAGTAAGAAGAAGTCTCAGATTCAAAAGTTCCAAGTTCTCTCAGCTCTTTGTCATACTTTAAACCCATGAAACACATAGATCAGCTCAATTATAATGTACTTCCTATTATAAGAAATATAAGGGATTTCCTTCCATTTAGAACAGTTCTTTCTTCCTATTTTTGTTCTGCTGGTCCTTTGATAGCAGAGCATCTGGACAAGTGTTGGACTACACTGTCACCAGAGAATTCCAACCAGCCGATGGCATTGATCCATCAAAAACCTTGAATGATGCCTAATGAATGGAATCTTCAATGGCATTATTGTTCTACTGTGTGATTCATAGACTTGATGTTTGTTTGTTGATTTATTTCTATGCTGCCTGAACTATTTGTGTCACTTCTTGCCATGCCTGTCCTCTAAGTCCTGCTGTCCGGCTGGAGCTGCAAAAGAGCTCTTTCATAGGTTGAAGAGCAGTATTCTGACAAGGGTATGAGTTGAAACGTTTTGTTCTCTGTGATTCAAAAGTCTTCACTTCCTCAGCATTTGGACAAGCCCACCTTTGTGAATAACGTATGAATATTTACAAGGTTTACCCTCCTTTCTTCTCTTTCTGAAGTTTCAAAGACTAGCATTCAAATGCCATGGCTCCCTAGGGATTTCAGACAGTTGGATGCAAGGCTTCATACATAATATCAGTTGAATTAGATTCCATACTTACACAATTAGAACAATATTACGTTCACATTCAAATAAAATGATTGATGGATGAAAGGTTCTTTGATTGGCAGTTGTTTTTTTTAAAGGAATCTGGCATTATTTCAACTTGATTTGAATGAAGACAGCCACTTAATTTGAATATCAAAAATTTTATATCCACAGACACAGTGAGGCTTCAAATTACAGCTAGTATTTTCAGAAGCAAAGAAAGCATTCCCAAGATTTAAATGTACTTTTGTACAATTTAGTGCGTACAGTAAATTGCATTAGAAATCCTAAAAGGTCCTTTCTAGTCTATTTAACACCCTTTTTTGTCACTGGGAAAAAAAAGTTTCATTTAATTGTCCTAGTTAGCACCTATTGATTTGATAAATTGGACTAAATGATCAAAACCATCCTATTTATAGGCTTGTGATTCCTCACGTTAGCATTAGAGGGTGCTCTCTTCTAACCTTAGTTAGACTTGCCTATTTCATACCTCAGTTATGTGTTATGTGCACGTGAAGTATATTATTCTAGACTATTCTGATAGAAGAAATAAAAAGACACAACCCCAATAGATTCCCATAGATTATTTATTTCTCCTGCTTTTCTAATATTTTAAAATTTAGGAGGTTTTTTTTTTTCATTTTTCATTTTTTTAATTACAATTCATTTGGCAGCTTCATTTTCAATTTGCTTGTTAAACAAAATAAGATGATGAGAACTTTCTTTTAATTAACACTTGGCCAATCTTTCAAAACAAAATAATAGTTATAATCAAAAACAAATTGAATCTTCACAGAGAATTCTAAAAGAAGGATTGCTTCTACTTCGGAAGAGTTTTGAATCAAGCCTAGCCAACATAAAATGGGTATTTAAATTCATTAACTAAGAATTGAATAGATTTTCTAGGTATTTCCTATTGACCCAAGAATGGCAAATAATTCTAACTCCTTTAGAAGATCATAATGTTTTTGAACATCCAAATCCTCTGCATCGGGTGGGTTCTGTATTCTTTTACTGCTGGTTCGCTCAGGAATGCTCTTTGGGCACGCACATTTGATATGTGCTATGTACGCATGCGCAGTAGTGGGAAAATTGCTTCTGCACATGAGCAGAAGCAAAAAACAAGATAGCAGCGCCTATGCGCCACCGATAGAACAGGTTTGGAGGCATGGGCATCCAAATTACTACCTACTCGGCCGAACCAGTCAGAACCAGTAGAAACCCACCTCTGCTCTGAATGCAAAGGTAGTTTGAAACAGGAGTTCCAAGGCTCTTTTCAATCTAGTGAGCATATTTTGAATTTTGTAGATTAGTTGAGACTCTTCTATTGTATTGCCGGGGGCTATTCATGCCATGAGGGATATAATCTGCATCATAATGCTATTTATCATCCTTTGAGCTTATTTTCTTGCACAGAATTCCACCTCTTCTTATTTCTGAGAAGGTGGGTACAGAGTTTCAGCCATCCATTGTTTTTATTTCCTACACCAATAGCAGTGATTGAACAAGGATATCTTTCTGCACATAGACTACCTTAGATCTCATTGTGCTCATGGCTGTGGTCATATGACCCACAAAGAAAGGCAATGTGATCCAAAACTATACATAGAGGATATGGCAGAAGCCGGAAAAATAATAAACATGATCAAAAAAAGAAATGGCAGCTCCTTCCCCATCAGTCAAATTATTATTATTTTTCTCCTGCCTGATCCACATAGAGGAGTTCATAAATTCCATAACATCACAGCACCTTCCATTGTCTTCTTAGCTGTGTTAATTAATTCAACAGCTGACATTTTCTACTTCCTGCTCACTCATACAGCTTCTATTCCTTTGTCTCTCAGGTGCTTCAATATATGCACAAATCCTTCAGATCATCTCTTGTCATTGCTATCATGAGTAAGCATTGAGATACTGTTCCCCCCACCCCCCAAATAAGACATTTATCTGTGAGTTTAAAACTATACAATTGATACTGCAAGTCTACTTCCAGAAGTAAAAGGATATATAGCATCCAGGAAATATCAAATGTAGGGATGGATCTGCCCATTATTGCAAGACAGATTTTAATATACTAGAGATTTAGGAAAACAATGTTCCGATCTTGTCTCAATCCAAGGCACTGCAACAGCCTGTAGCACAGTTGAAGTTTCTGTGTTCTAATGGGAGATTGCCAGAAAAATTGGAAGAAACCAGGACCAATTTTTGATCTTCATGACTTGGTGTGAACTGTTTATTGCTGGTACACCAGCAGGGTTTCATACATATAGCTTCAAGGTGACTAAGTTTATTAAATGAGTAGCAAATGTGTATTTCATTCCCATGACAAAATTTCTCTGGAAATGCGGGAGAGGGGACTGACGCTGAAGGGGGAAATGATGTAGAGGGAAGAAGGAAGGAGAGGATGGCCTTGAGGGACAGGAAGAAGCGTCTACCAAGACAATAGTCAATCAAAAGAAGATTGAATCCAGGGTAGGAAAGTAACCTGAATAAACATCTCAGAATAGACCAAGGGTCTCTAAACTCTTAAACCCATCAAACCCTCCATGAAGTTTCAGATTGTTTAACAACTCCCAAACATATATTATGCTACATGAAAATAATTTATTAAATGCTACTTTAACTAATGATAGTGAGTTTTGTGGGATGGTTGGCATTGAACTGGAAATGGGGAGACCATGAATTCTAGTACTGCCTTAGGTATGAAGCAGCTGGGTGACTTTGGGCCAGTCTCTCAGCCCTATGAAGCAGATAAGGGGAAACCACTTCTGAAATCTTGCCAAGAGAACTGTGGGGACTTGTCCAGGTAGTCGTCAGGAGTCAACATACATGCAAAGTCATGCATGCACAAATACACAGGTTAACTAATATAATAATTCCCTTTTTACAACCCTATAATCCCTTAATTTGGGGTAAACTGGTGAGCATTTATTAGCTGAATGCCCTTCCGGGCGCCATGCAGAGTTTGCAGCATATATTTTTTATTTGAGTCCTAGGAGAGAAACATCTGCTGCTACCTTGGATGAACTCCCAACCTTCCAAGTGTGCGGGAAAACTATATTTTCAAATAGAGGAGGAGGAAAAATAAGGAAATGAAAAGGCCATATCTTTCCTTCTTTAACTAAATAGATGGAAACCAGAGGTGGTATGCTGCCAGTTTGCACCGGTTCGGTCGAATCAGTAGTCGCGGCGGCATGAGGCTTCACCCACCCAACCTGGTGTCATCAAGCCCAGACATGTGCTCCTGCTAACAAACTGGTAGTGAAGAAAATAGAATACCATCTCTGATGGAAATCTAGGATCAACAATGCCATGAGGACAAGACTTTGGGTCAAAAATCCATGTCAAAAATTCAGCCAACAGAATAAGCAAGTCCTCCAAAGACAGAATGACTGGCGTACCATCTATTGAAGTAAGTGAAGC